AATATAAAACATCATTTCATAAGCATATGCCCCTACCTTATGCTCTATCTCACCTATCTTAATTACTCTTGTAATTAAGATAGGTGACTCTTGTTTATCATCGCCAGCAAAGGTTCCAGGGATATTACAAATAATAATGGGGATAAGGGGCATCCCTGCCTTGTACCATTGTACATCTTAAAGACCTTGAGAGGGACCCATTTACCTTCACGTCGGCAGGCAGGCCATTATAGAGCTCCTTTATCCAACTCATCATCTTAGTCCCTATTCCCAAGGTCTCTAGGGTATTTATCATAAATCCCCAATTTACCCTGTCAAAAGCTTTCTCAGCATCAATAGAAAAAATTGTTGGTAACTCTTCTCTCTTTGCCTTCTGTAAAAGAAGCAGTGTTCTCAAACCATTATCCCTCCCTTCCCCTCCCATGACAAAACCCACCTGATCCAATTGTATCCATTCCGGCATCAACTCTTTTAACCTTGTAGCTAGCACCTTTGCAAACAGTTTTGTGTCTGTATTTAGCAGTGATATAGGTCTATAGCTAGCGCATTGTGAACTGTTCTTTCCTTCTTTTAGGATAATCGTTATATATGCTTGCAACGATTCTGCTCTTATTCCCATTCCCTCTCCTATGGCATTTATATACGTATGTACAAAATTTAGGGACCAATAAGTCTCCAAATGTTTTTTATAATAACCCACCGTATACCCATCGGGTCTTGGACTTTCCCTCCTGCTGTATTCTTCAGGGCTGTATTAATTTCCTCTTGGGAGATCGCTTGTTCTAACGATACTAATTTTTCTTTTGATATTTTTGGGAGGTCTGCTGCCTTTAAAAATTCCAGCCATTTCCCCCTTTTTTCTTCCTCTGAAACATTCGGGTTCTTAGGTTTTACATCATAAAACCTATAACATTTTTGGTAAGTTTCAGCAATATCAGTGGTGGAGTATACTAGTTCTCCTTTCTTATCTTTAATTTTTTCAATATAATTCTTTAATTTATTTTCCTTAAGTCTTTTCTTCAAATATTTTCCTGGCTTATTCCCCAACTGATATCTTTCCTTTGAATCCCTATTGAAGATCTTCCTTGATTCCTGTTCCAGTAGGTCTTTTAACTCTTCTTAGTATATCTTAAAATTAACCTCTATATCCTGCCTCATTTTATGTGCCTGTTCTAAGCTATATAACTCCTCCGTCACCCCCTTTATTTTTCTCTCCCAATCTTTCTTTTTTTTAGTTCCTGTGGCTATCAGGATTCCCCTCACATACTCCTTATGTGCTTCCCAAATGGTGACTATAGCAGCTTCCTCAGTTTCATTCAGCAGAAAAAATTGCTCTATTTCCTCCCTTAACTTCCTCTCTACTTCAGAGTCCTGTATAAGCATCTCATTCAATCTCAACATTGCCCTTTTGTTCCCTTCTCCTCCTATCTTTAGTCTCGCCGTGACAGGAGCATGATCTGAGATAGACATAACTTCTATATTGGATTTAAACAGTGAATTCAGTTGACTATGCTTGATCATAATATAAACCAACCATGAGTACGATCTATGCGCCAGGGGAGAAGAAGTTATAATCTCTTTCTCTAGGATATTTCGCCCTCCATGCGTCCATTAACTGACTTGATGTAACCTCTTTTTCAGCATTCTTAATTTTTTACCTCCTCCTCTCTGTGCACTAAAAGACATATCCATCCATGGATCAAGACAAAAATTAAAATCTCCTGCCAGGACCAAAATTCCCCTTTTAAACTCCTTAATTTTCCCCAATACTTCATATAGAAATACCTCTGGATTTTGATTCAGGCAGTAAATATTAACTAAGGTATAGCTTTGTCCCCGCATTTTCCCTCTTAAACATAGAAATCGTCCCTCTGGGTCCACCAAAAGAAACAAATGAAATAGAATAGAAAACAAAAGAATACAATAGAAAGAATACAGCAGTCTTATGAAATTCGAATTTTGAATAAACTAGAACCAGCTATTCTTATGATTTATTTAGGGTACTTAAATAAATATTCTTGACAATGAATTCGGATGAATTTGATATTTTCAATTTGAATACTTCAAATCTATTTGAAACAATTTGAATCTGATCGAACATGAAACAAATTTAGTTACAAATGCAACAAAATAAAAATTAGCAACTTAAGGAATCGATCTGAAACTAAACATGTTTTTTCATTCTGCACAAATCTACTTTGAACTTGGAGTGCATTGTATGCATTATTTTTTTCACTTAACATATTTAATGTCAGTTTTGTTTGGTGAATATGCACTGACAGTGTGTAAATTTATGTACGGTACATGTTGTTTATCTATATTTATAAGGCTGTATCTATATTACTATGTTCTGTATTTAAAGATTAAAACATATCTAAACTCAAAAACAATTATTTAAAGTATAACTAAAGGCAAGAATTTTTTTATAGAGTGGAGAGGGATTAGAACACCTGTCAGTTGTTATTGCAGTCTGTGCCCCCCGTTCGAGAGATTCACTCTCTTTATTTGTCCTGTTTGCCATTATCACCGAGAGTAAAAGTGAAAAAAAATTCTTAATTTTGGGTTGTCCCCAGAACATGAATAGAGGAGAAATCTTCCAATGGGGACACTAGTTCTGGTGACAACCAGGGTTTCCCTAATTTTGTAGAATTTCCTTTCACTTCCCATTTTAGCTATGGGACAGAAAGTGAAGGAAAATCTCAATGGGACACAGATGGCAAAAAAACCTACAGGAGTTATGATTCTTCTTTACTCTATCCAAAATGAAAAGAAGTTTTGACTTTAGTTTTACTTTAATATATTGCAGCTTACTAGTGCTTAGATGTGGCTGCTGAATTAGTTTTCTTGTTTTAGGCTTTTTCCCTATATTTTCACCTGGTGATTCAACCTGTGGCATACAGCACTTCCTGTCTTGGGGGGTGGCTGCACCCAGTGCGTTACCCTATCTATGAAGGAGCAACATAGCCACCTCTGAGCAGCTGCATTGTCAACCTATTGTATTGGTAGTGTTAGAAGGACTAGTAGATTTAGATGCACATTACATAATATACAAGAAATTAAGGCCTAACTTAACCTTTTTAAGCAGTTACAGAAACAAGTTTTATTTTTTATTTTGGGATACAGTTTTAACTAAGTATAACCTGACCCCTGCCAAGAGCAGCTCAGATTACATCACTGGCACACATCCCTGTGTGTCAGGATGACTGGCTCCTATGCATGTGCAGGATTTATATCATCCTGAGCTGGCCAATGGAGATGCTCAAAAGTAAGTATATTTGCTGACTTGGTTTTACTTGATTCCGTTTGGATGGAAACTTTGGTTTATGGAATAAAAGTGGCTTTAACCACTTCCCAGCCGTAATATAGTACAATAATGGCTGAGCGGGAGCGCTGCCATCCTGGGTGGATGTCATGTGACACAATGAAAGAAAATGTACCAGGCCACTGCCGGTACCATGTGATCATTGTGATCAATCACAGCAGATCATGTGGCAATTTTACACAATGAATGGCTTCCACTCATAGACTTTCATTGTGTACTATTGTGTACTATTGTGTTGATCTTTCATTGGTCACAGTGAGCACATGGTACCGAAACGGCCAATCACAGTTCATCTTTACCATTTGATGGCTGTGGTCAATCACAGCTTCACAATAGTACACACTGGATGAATGGATGGCATTCATAAAAAAAGATTGCTTATAACAGTTATCATCACTGGTATAAGCAATCAGAGTGTGTTAAAAAAAATCCTGAGCACCTTCCCAAAGTAGTACAATGTCACTGTACTGCTCTGGCCACAGTATATTAAAATATATTTAATCATAAAAAAATAAATTGTAATAAAAAAAAAGTTTTTTAAAAAAATTAAAACAAAATATTTTTTTTTTTCTTACATACTGTTAAAAGTCTGTGTCCCTGATCACTGCCACACCAGTTATATGATGACACTGTACTACACTGGTGACAGTATGTAAAAGACAAAAAAAAGCACTTTAATTAAAAAAAAAAATTGTGACAAAATTATAGCTTAAAAAAAACAAAACACAAAACTTGTCATTTTGCCTTCCTCTGGATCAACTGTGGGTATAGGATTATAACTTTTTTTTCTCTTTTTTTAATGGTTGAACTGGATGGACTTTACTCTTCTTTCAGCCAGAATAACTATGTAACTACAGTATATGTCATGCCTTCTACTAAATACCTTGGACTGCCTACTTTCCCGAAACTTGTGGGGTCGCTTGGGTGACAGTTATATTGTCCTGTCATTTTAGGGCCTCAGAAATTTGATGTCAATAAGCCAGAGTATTGGGATGCCTGACTTTGCACGCACATGAACTTTAATCGCATCCCAGTCTTAGTCTGTAGGGTTCAATATTGAGTTGGCCCACCCTTTGCAATGACAGCTTCAACTGTTCTGGGAAGGCTGTCCACAAGGTTTAGGAGTGTGTCTATGGAAATGTATGACCAAACTTCTAGAAGTGCATTTGTGAGGTTAGGCACTGATGTCGGATGAGAAGACCTGGCTCGCAGTCCCTGCTCTAATTCATCCCAAAGGTGTTCTATCGGGTTGAGGTCAGAACTCTGCTGGCCAGTCAAGTTCCTCCACCCCAAACTTGCTCCTTCGTGTCTTTATGGACCTTGCTTTGTGCACTGGCGCAGTTATGTTGGAACAAGAAGGGGCCATCCCCAAACTGTTCCCACAAAGCTGGGAGCATGAAATTGTCCAAAATGTCTTTGTATGCTGATGCATTAAGAGTTCCCTTCACTGAAACTAAGGGGCCAAGTCCAACCTCTGAAAATCAACCATAATCCCCACACCATAATCCCCCTTCTACCAAACTTTACACTTGGCACAATGCAGTCGGGCAAGTACCGTTCTCCTAGCAACTGCCAAACAAAGACATGTCCACCGGATTGCCAGACAGAGAAGGGTGATTGGACACTCCAAAGAACACGTCTCCAATGCTCTAGAGTCCAGGGGCAGTGTGCTTTTACACCAGTCCATGAAGCTCTATACGCACTGTTGTTGTGCAAATCTGAAGGCCACATGAAGTTTGGAGGTCTTCAGCTATTGACTCTGCAAACAGTTGCTGACTTCTGCACACTGTGCACTTCAGCATGCGCTGACCCCTGCTCTGTCATCTTATGTGGTCTAGTACTTCGTGGCTGAGTTGTTGTTATTCCCAGTTGCTTCCACTTTGTTATAATACCACTAACAGTTGACCGTGGAATATTTAGTAGCAAGGAAATTTCACGGATGGACTTATTGCACAGGTGGCAACCTATCACGGTACCACACTTGAATTTACTGAGCTCCTGAGAGCAACCCATTCTTTAACAAATTTTTATAGAAGCAGTCTGCATGCCTAGGTGCTTGATTTTATACACCTATGGCCATGGAGGTGATTGGAAGAACACCCGAACCCAATGATTTGGAGGGGTGTCGCAATACCTTTGGCATATAGTGTGTCTGGCTGCACAAATGTGCAAGGGAGGTAGGGGATTTGGGGGCCTCTGCAGGCAATGCCACAAGAGTATGCAGGAGAGGGGGTGGGGGAGAGACGGCTGGTAACGTGTGTGCAGGGGGTGGCGGGACTCGGAACACAGGGCTGTGCGAGTGGAGTGGACTCAGTAGGCAAGGCCGCATGGGTGTGCAAGGGAGGTGGGGGATTTGGGGTTACTCAGCAGGCAAGGCCACACGAGTCTGTAGGGTGGGAGGGTGCAGAGGGACTTGGCAGGCAGGGCCACACAAGTGTTTGGGGGATGTAGGTACTCAGTCCTCATGGCTGCACTAGTGGAGTGGACCCAACAGGAACATCCCCATGACTATGTGGGGAGCGGGGATGAAAAGGGACTTGGCAGGCAAGAACTCAGCACTCAGGTCTGCATGAGTGGAGTAGAATCAGCAGGCAAGGGCACATGATTCTGTAGGATATGGGGGGCCCTGGCATGCTGGGCTGCACAAGTGTTTGAGGGGGGTGTGGGAACTCTGCATTCATAGCTGGGAAGGCAAGGCTAAATGAGTAGTCTGTAGGGTGGGGGGGGGGGGGGATTTAGCATCAGAGCTGCATGAATGGAGGCTGGGCTATATGAGTTTGCATGGGAGATGGGGGCTATGGGGGGACACTTGGCAGGCCAGACTGCACAAGTGTTTGGGAGGGAAAGGGAGGAGGAACTCGGCATTCGGGGCTGAACGAGTAGAATTGACTCAGCAGGTAAGGCCGCATTAGTAAGTGGGAGGAATAGTACGGGATAATTGGCACTCAGGGCGAAGGACTCAGCAGGCTGATCGGGGTGGAGGAGTGAAGGGATATGGCAGGCCAGACTGCACATGTGACTTAGCAGGCAAGGCCACACAAGTCTGTAGGGTGGGGGAATATGGCAGGCCAGACCATACAAATGTTTGGGGGGGGGACTTGGAACCCAGGACCACATGAATGAAGTGGACCCAGCAGGCAAGGCCACATGAGTATGTGGGGGGTACAGGAAACTCAGCACTCAGGTGTGTGTGGAGGGGGTGCTTGGTGAGGTGAGAAATCGTCACTCAGGGCTGCATAAGTGGATTGGATTCAGCAGACAGGGTTGCATGAGTATACATGAGATTTAAGGGGGGTTGGGGGGGACCCAGCAGGAAAGGCCATCTCTTTTCCTCCAGATGTAAAGAGTACCCCCCGTCCTCTGTGATGACCTTAAAGTGAATAACTCAACACCAAGTTCAATATATGGAGCACTTTTGTATTTATACATGTTGATCATATCCCCAATCCCTAATCTCCTTCTCAAGAGAGAATAAATTCAGTTCCTCTAATCTGTCCTCATAGCTGAGAGATTGGAGAGGGACTCAGCAGGCCAGACTGCAAAAGAGTGCAAGGGAGGTGGGGTTTTTTTTTTGGGGTGGGGGGGGGGGAACTCAGCTGGCAAGGTTGCATAAGTGTGTATGCAGGAGAGAGGGTGGGGGAGAAACTCAGATGGTAGGGACGCACGTGTGCAGGGGAGAAGGTGGCAGGTCTCAGAATTCAGGGCTGTGTGAGTGGAGTGGGCACAGCAGGTAAGGCCGCATGATTATGTAGGAGGAGAGGATGGAAAGAAACTCGGCAGATGGGATCACATAAGTCTGCAAGGGAGGTGGGGGTTTTGGTGGGGATTCAGCAGGCAAGGCTGCACGAGTCTGTTGGAGGGAGGGGGAACTCGTCAGGCCAGGCCACATGAGCGTATGAGGAGTGGGTTGGGAGAGGTACTCGGCAGTCAGGGTTGCACGAGTAGATTGGACTCAGCAGGAAAGGCCGCATAACTATGTGGGGGAAGGGGGATGGAAATGGATTCACCACTGCATGAGCATACAAGGGAGGTATGGGTTCTGAGGGAGTCTCGGCAGTGAAGGCCACATGAATATGTGAGGGAGGTGGTATTGGAGACTTGGCATGCAGGGTCGCACGAGTGGAATAGATTCAGCAGGAAAGGCCTCATGAATTTGCAGGGTTGGAGAGGGACTAGACCACATGCAGGGGAATGGTGCGGGAAACTTGGCACTCAGGGACACAAGAGTAGAGTGGACTTAGCAGGTAAGGCCACATGAGTATGCAGGGGTATGGGAAACTCAGCACTCAGGAGAGCACAAGTGGATTGGATTCACCAGGAAAGGATGCACAATTGAATTTGAGGGACTCGGCACTCAGACCCGCTCGAAGTCAGCAGATTCAGCAGGCATGGCTGCATGAGTATACAAGGGTGTGGACTCCCCTGGAGTGGACTCAGCAAGCAAGTTAAATGTGTGGGATGGAGAATGGGAGAATGGGAGTGTGCCAGGGAGGTGGGTAACTGAAGGACTCATCAGGCAAGGCCATATGAGTCTGTAGGGTGCGGTGGTGGAAGAGTGGGGAGATCTCAGGGCTGCTCATGTGGAGTGGACTCAGCAGGCCAAGTCACACGATTCTGCAGAGGGAATGGGGCACGGGAGACTTAGAGCTGCACAAGTGGAGGGGACTTAGCAGGCAAGGTCGCACAAGTGTATAGAGTGGGGTTTGGAGAGGAGGTCAGCATGTAAGACCATAGGAGTCTGTTTGGGTGGAGGAATAAAAAAAAATCAGGCAGGCTGGGCCGTACAAGTGTTGGGGGGGGGTGGGGTTGGGAACTTGGCACTCAGGGCTGCAGAAGTGGAGTGGACTCAGCAGGCAAGGCTGCACAAGTGGGGCAGGGGGGGGAGGGGGGCTGGGGACTCACACTGGGCCACATGAGTGCGCAGGGGAGGTGAGGGTTTTTGGGGCGGATCTTGGCAGGCCGGATGCATGAGTGGACTCAGAAGACAAGGCTGCACGAGTGGGGTCAGGGGAGATCTTGGCACTCAGGGCCCACACAAGTGGAGTGTACTCAGCAGTTTTTGGGGGGTACTCAGCAGGCAAGGCTGCATGAGTCTGTAGGGTGGGAGGGGGCAGGAGGGACTTGGCAGACAAGGTCACATGAGTTTGTAGGGTGGGGGAATTCAGCAAGCAAAGCCACATGAATCTGCGGGTGAGGGGAGCACAGGGGGCAAGGTTGCACAAGTGTGCAGGTGAGAGTTTCTGCAGGCTGGGCCATACAGATGACTGGGGTGGAATTTAGCACTGCAAGAGTGGGGTGGACTCAGAAAGCAAGGCCACATGAGTGTGCAAGGTGGGGGGTGGGAGAGGAACTTAGAAGGCAGGGCTGCATGAGTGTTGAACGGAGGTTCGTATTATGGGGGGGGGGGGGGCTACTCAGCAGGCAAGGCTGCATGAGCCTGAAGGCAAGGCCGTCTGAGTGGGTTGAGGAGGACTTGGAATTCAGGGCATCACAAGTGGAGTGGACTTACCTGGGGGGTGTGGGGTTGCAGAGGGACTTGCACCATTGTTCTGGGGGGGAGGTGAAAACTTGGCACTCAGGACTGCACGAGTGGGGTATACTTAGCAGGGAAGGCTGCCTGAGTTTTGTGGTGAGGGGTTGAACTCGGCAGGCTGGGCTACATGAGTCTGTAAGACAGGTGGGCGTTTGAGAGGGAAAGGGGGGACTCAGTAGGCAATTTCTGCATGAATGTGAGGGGGAGGTAGGGGTTTTGGGGTACTCAGCAGGTAAGGCTGCACTAATTTGTGTGTGTGTGTTGGGGGGTGATGACTTGCCAGGCCGCACAAGTGGAAATAGTGAACAATTTAAAATGATTATAAATACAGGATAATATATACAGATATGGAGAACACATCACAACCTGCAACAATATTTAACAGTGTCATGAGAAAAGTGCAAGTTAAATAGAATTAGCTACATAGTTATATAGCAAGATATATGGATTCTGATCACTCCACATCCGGTGTAAATGGCGATCTCACCGTCTCCAGGACTCCTTGTTGTAGATTATTATTATTATACAGGATTTATATAGAGCCATCAGTTTGCACAATGCTATACAAAATGAAGGTAGACATTACAGTTACAATACAATTTGATACAAGAGGAAATAGAGGGTCCTGCTCGTTAGAGTTTATAATCTAGTAGGAAGGGTTTAGTGATACAAAAGGTAATAGATGTGGGGATAAGCTAATGGAGGAAATAAAAGGCAGTTTACCAATTAGGAGCAGGATAGGCTTCTTTAAAAGAGAAAGATTAGATTAGGGATTGCCTAAAGGTAGATAGATCAGGAGATAGCCGGACAGAGTTGGGTAGGGAGTTCCATAGGATGGGAGAAGCTTAGGAGAAGTCCTGGAGGCAAGCATGGGAGGAGGTAACATGGAAACAAGAGAGACAGTCTGGTTCAGCACTTCAGCTGTCAGCACACCTTCTCTTTCAGTCTCTCCCTGCACTCTCCTGGCCAATCTCCTGGCCTTTAATATTTATATGCCCCCATCCACACACTACCTCTCTTGGGAAATGTAGTCCCTGACTGCCCTGCTCACCAGCTGAGTCCTGCTATACAGCATACAAGTTCCATAGAACTGTTCTGCCCATACGAGTGACCCTGGATGGCAGACCACCGCCAATTAATGCACATTTCACTTACAGTGAAGTCTCACAATTTCAAAGTCAGATGACATGCCAATTTCAGGTGCAATTTGCAAGACATCTGATACAGATGTCTATGCAAATCGCACCAAAAGTACTGCATGTACTACTTTAGAAATCGGTGAGGATCCGACCAAGTCGGAACCGCACCGATATGACCACAATAGGATGTGATTTGTCATGCAATTTGCAAGTCTCATGGCATGCAAATCGCATGCCAATTCGCATCCAGTGTTGCCAGAGTCTTAGAGCCTGGAAAAGCAGAAAGGAGAAAACCCAGTCTTTGGTAATGTCCATGGTTCTGGACTTCAGGCAGTCATTGCCAGTAAAGGATTCTCAACAAAATATTAAAAATT